GGCTATGCTGTTCCTGGTTTTCTTCATGTTTGGTTGATTCCAATATGTGTGTTTGTTGCTGGCCCCAAGCGCCCAGCTGAGGCGCGTCTCCCTGGGCAAGGTGGAGGCGGCGCTTGGGGGAGAAGGACGCCGAAAGATGAAACACACGAAATTCAAATCCCCCAGGAAACAAATGAACGACATCAAGGTCTGACTGGTTTTCGGAAGCCCTGAAAGGAAACACTGAGACATATTATGTTGCATTTGGTCCCCATGTCAGCAGCAAGCCAGAGCCGTGAGTTCGTTATTTGTTCTGCCTGCGGGCTATGTATTACATGTGTTTCCTCCTGCGCTTGTTGATTTTCATATTTTTGGATATGGGCGTTGTTCCTGTGGGGCCCTCCCTCGGGGGAAGCAAAGGCCGCGCACGGACTCCGTCTGAAATCCGTGACCAACGGATACATGGTGTACATCGAAAGAGAGAGGATCAGTGTAAAGGCGTAACATAAGTGCGCAATTCGAATTACTGCACAAGCGGATTCAATTGGTATCCGCCGCAACAGGGTGATAGTTTGCACTGCACCACAGAACGACTCAAATTGGAACCCTTTCGCAAACAAACTCAATGCGTAACCCGCAACAGCACTGACTCAATTTGTAATGCGCAACACAGTCGATCAATTCTGAGCCCGTCATAACAAATTCAATGTGTAATCCGCAGCAGCTGGAATCAGCGTGTAACTCGCCACTGTCACAATCCCCTGGCGTTCCTCCCTACGCAACGAACGCAATTCAATCTAATGCGACGGCATGCAGTGATTTGGTAACTAACGCTTTGCTGCGCGGTGCCTGGAAATGGCGATGCGAATGCGATTCGATGGTTGGGCTATGGGGCGCCCCCGTGCCCCCCGAACAATATGTTCTTGCATCCTAGCCGCAGACCGTGTAGCACCACCCATAAGGCACCAACCACCGAGCCACACACATCGGGCAGCCAAGGCAAGAACGAGCAACCGAGACCATCAACGGCATACCATAGCACCAACCACCGAGCCACACACACACACAAGGCGGCCAGGGCAAGAACGCGCACCGAGACCATCAACAGCATGTTGTTATTTCCAGCCATAGGCAGAGTTGAACAGTGAACACGAGGCCTTCTTCTGGACCTTCTGCATCTGGGCAAGCCTCGAGGAGCCAAGTGGCAGACCTCGCTGCACTCCTCAACTGGCGCTTGCCATATTGATTCAGCTGGGAAGCGCATGCTTCCGCAAACTTCCTGACAGTTTGGGTGGCCACGCAGCCACAGGACAGACAAACAGCGCTCCCGAACTCCTTGTGATAGGCCGAGGTGTGGGAGCTATGCAAGTCTGCGCCATTGACTGTGCTCTTAGTGGGCACCAAAAGCATCCCCTGAAACAAGCCCTGGTGGCACGGGGTCGCTAACAATTTGTCCGCCAACTTGCATGACGCACATCCTCCGCAGCAATGACAGCGGACCTGGGAACATATCCCCCACGCAGGCAGGTGAGCAGTCAGCAGCAGTTTGATTTTGATATCCCGCCTCTTGGGCCTCAAAACCAACTCTCTGGGCACGCGGTTCCCGTCGGTTTCGGTCGATGCTAAAAGACTGTGGCCGAGGTGCTGGCGAACCTGGAGGGCAATCGCTTGGGCGCGGGACCCGCTGTCTCTAGCAGCAGCATGCGCGCGAACATTGTCGGCCCATTGGTTCGCTATGCGGTCAGTCAGGTCACTCAAAAGAACAAACAAGTAGTCTGCTCCTAGGTCGCTGATGTCTTCTACCTTCCCGTGGTTTTCTACTTTGGCTAGAGCGACTCCTCTGGGCGGGTGCTGGGCCAGGCCTTCGGTGGAGCTTCCTATGGGGCCACGAAGCGCTGCACTGGGTGGGGGAAGCGCGTGTGGACACCGCCACTGGGGCCTCCAGTGGAGCCCCCTCGAACACCGCCACTGGGGCCTTCGGTGGACCTCCCTGTGGGGCCATGAAGCGTTGTACTGGGTCGGGGAGACGCATGTGAACACCGCCACTGGTGCCTTAGATGGACCTCCTTATGGGGCCACGAAGCGCAGAGCTGGGTGGGGGAAACGCATGTGGACACCGCCACTGGGGTTTTCGGCGGAGCTCCCTATGGGGCCACGAAGCGCTGCACTGGGTGGGGGAGATGCACGTGGACACCGCAACTGGGACCCTCGGCGGAGCTCCCCATGGGGCCACGAAGCGCTTCACTGGGTGCGGTGACGCCTGTGGACACCGCCAGTGGGGCCTCTGGAAGAGCCCCCCCATGGGGCCACGAAGCGCTGTGCTGGGTGGGGGAGACCTGTGGACACCGCCACGGGGGCCTTCGGCGGAGCTGACACCGCCACTGGGGCCCTGGTGGAGCTCCCTGCGGGGTCAAGAATCGCCGTTTTGGGCGGGGGGAACGCATGTGAACTGTTCCACGGGCGCCTTCGGAACAGCCCCATATGAAACCACGGCTCGCCGTGCTGGGTGGGGAGACGCATGTGCACGCCGCCACTGGGGCATTCGGTGGAGCTCCCTATGGGGCCACGTAGCGCTCTACTGGGTGGGGAGACGCATGTGGGCACCGCCACTGTTGCGGGCGGGGGAGACGCATGCGAACACCGCCATCAGGGCCTTCGATGAAGTTCCCCGTGAAGCCACGAAACGCTGCACTGGGTGGGTGAGACGCATGTGGACACCGCCATTGGGGCCTTCGTTGGAGCACCCTATAGGGCCACGAGACGCTGTGCTGGGTGCGGGAGGCGAATGTGAACACCTCCGCTGGGGCCTTCGGCGGAGATCCCTATGGGGCCAAGAAGCGCTGTGCTGGGTGGGAGAGGCGCACGTGGACACCGCCACTGGGGCCTTCGGTGGAGCTCCATGTTGGGCCACGAAACGCGCTGTACTGGGTGGGTGAGACGCATGTGGGCACCACCATTGGGGCCTTGGCGGATCTCCCTACGGGGGCCCGAAGCGCTGGGCTGGGTGGGGGAAACGCATGTGGACACCGCCACTGGGGATTTCGGCGGCGCTCCCTACGGGGCCACGAAGCGCTGCACTGGGTGGGGAGACGCATGTGGACACCGCCACCGGGGCCTTCGGTGGAGCTCCCTATGGGGCCACGAAGCGCTGCACTACGTGGGGACGCATGTGGACACCGCCGCTGGGGCCTTTGGTGGAATTCCCTATGGGGCCACGAAGCGCTGTGCTGGGTGGGGGCAGACGCACGTGGACACCGCCACTGCGGCCCTAGGTGGAGCTCCCTGCGGGGTCACGCAGCGCTGTGTTGGGCGGGGGAGACGCATGCGAATACCGCCACTAGGGCCGTCGGTGGAGATCCGTATGAGGCCACGAAGCGCCGTGCTGGGTGGGGGACACGCATGCGAACACCGCCACTGGGGCCTTAGGTGGGGCGCCCTCTGGGGCACGAAACGCCGCGCTGGGTGGGGGAGACGCATGCGAACACCGCCACTGGGGCCTTAGGTGGAACTCCCTATGGGGCCAGCGGAACTCCCCATGGGGCCAGCGAAACGCTGTGCTGGGTGGAGGAGACGCATGCGAACACCGCCACCAGGGCCTTAGGTGACCCTTCCTATGAAGCCGCGAAGCCCTGTGCTGGGTGGGGGAGACGCATGCGGACACCGCAATTGAGGCCTTCGATGGGCCCCCCTGTGGGGCCACGAAGCGTGCAAGGGGTGTGGCGAAATTGGTGGCGATGATGGTGACGATAACGGTGGTGATCATGGCGTCGATGTTAACGACGATGACATGGCGATGACGATGACGATGACGATGAAGATTACTGGGATTGTTTTCTCAGGTGAGGAATCTGTCTTGTATGAGAACGACTCTGTCTACACTGCGGCGAGAGCCCCTGGGCCGCTTCGGCGCCCAGGATTCTTGAAAGCTTTAACGGGCCGAATACCCCTGACTAGGCCAAGTGGGCCTGGAAGGGCAATGATTGGAGAGGGGCGGGCATGGCATTGGGCCGCGAGAAACTGAGCACAAACAGTTGCGGAGAATATTGCAGCAACACGACCCGAGCCCAATCCTATTCAACACTGCGCACGCAATACATTACTGGGATTGTTTTCTCAGGTGGGGAATCTGTCTTGCATGAGAGCGACGCTGTCTATACTGCGGCGAGAGCCCCTGGGCCGCCTCGGCGCCCAGGACTCTTGAAAGCTTTCCGAGCCGAAAACCCATGGCATCGAGGACACGGCGCACCCCGAATTCGAAGAGTTCATCCGATTTGGACCAGGGGGCTGACGGGAGGCACGGGCCTGCTCTGTGAGGATCCGGGCCAGCAGCCGATTGAATTTGGCAGGATAAGGCTGAGCAATGACAGTCCATCTCTGCCCGCCTGGACCTCCCCTAGACAAGTGACAATGCGGGAGGTTGGTCCTGGAGCTGATCCCACGGCGGCCACGGCATCTCATGGCCGCGAGCTTTTTTAGGTCCTGCGGGCAAGCGCCCCCTATCAAAAACCGGGCCCTTTTCCTCCAAGGGGTTCCCATCATGCAAGAATCGCAGACGATCTCATCTACACAGGAGAGGCGCATTATTCTCTGGGCCTGGGGAGTCAACCACATTCGACTAGTGAGGGGATTCTCCCAGGCCCAGGGCACCCGAAACCGATTCAGACATCTGACTAGCTCTAACGTGGCACGCAGGCACGAGTTTCCCTCAGACACCTTTATCTGCTAATTCTCTGGCAGCCCAGGGAGGCCCCACGGGTGACTGCTGCTACGAATCATCATTGTCCTATCTCGGGCAATCGAGAAAGACGAACAGGGCGGGGCCAAACAAGCTCCTATCACTCCTCCATCACGAATCACCCGTTTGAGTCTCGCTACGCGCTTTCTTTTTGACTGGTCGAAGTCTTCACCGACTTGTAAATCCCACTCGACGGCCTTGAAGCCCTCCGAGCGGACGGCCCTGGCAACGCCCCCGCTGCCGGAGAACAGGTCCAGAAACACGCCCTCCTTCACTGTGGTGGCGGTCAGTCGGCGACTCTGGAGCCGAGGACGCACTCCCCGACGCGTCGCTCGCAGGCCAGCAGCCAGCGTTGCTTGGCGGCGGAGTGCTCGGCCATCTGCATCGCCAGCCTGCCATGCTTCTCGTGCCGCACTAGGCTCTTGACCGAGGCCCAGCGGCCTCTCTTCTGGATCTGCTGCAGCGCCCCCATCTCCTTGAGCCGCTTCCAACTCGGACCGGAGTGCCTCATGTGGTACGGCACCGCGTCGGCCCCGATCAGCTTGAACGCCCGCTTGAAAGCCTTCAGCACGCGCGGGTAGTCCAGGGCGCACAAGGGCTGCCCCTCCGGCCGCGAGCGGAGCACCTGAAACACGTCGTTCATGAAAGACAGGCACGGGGCATCCCACAGCAGATTGTCGTCGAAGGCCCCGACCTTGGTCGCCACCCCGCGCTCCTCCGGCGCGACCAGCAGCCCCCAGTGGCTCGAGACCCCCGTGACGGGTGCGACCAGGTCCTCCGCCTGGATCCCCAGGCACTCGCACGGCCTGAAGTAGAAGCCGCAGGCGACGATCACCCACAGCCCTCCAGCTCGTTCAGGTGGATCAGCGCGACGACCAGGGCCGCCACCAGCGGGAACGGGCACGGCTTCCGACTCCGCCCCGGCACCAGGCGCCGCCACCCTTTCAGAGCGCGACCCGCCCGCGGCAACTTGAACTTCCCGTACTTGCCGTACTCCGGGTAGACGTCCATCCAGCCGGCGAGAAGCTTGACGCCGTAGCTGCTGTGCTCGCCGTCGCGGTACTTTGCGTTTCATGAAGTGCGTCAACAGCTCGTCCACGTCCGTCTGAGACCGGGCCTGGAAGCGGCGCCGCTGCGCGAAGCTCAACGCGAGCCGCATGCGTCGCTTGTTGTCGTCCATCACCCTCGGCGTCGCGCTCTTCTGCTCCAGGTGCGTGGCGCCCCGCTTCGGGTCGAGGTTGGCATATCTTGCCAGCCGGCGAGTCCTCGTAGGACCGCAATGAACAGGCACCCCGGAGGTAGCCCCGCTGGACCCGTCTGTCTCGCGGCCCTCCTCGCTCGCGCCCCCTACCTCGTCGAGGTCCACGGGCGGCTTCGCCAGCTTGAAGCGCAACCTCGAGTTCAGCGAGGCGTGGACGTCGGCCTCCGTCAGCGTCCGCTGCCGGCCCTTGGGCCCGCCAGGTGCAGGCCGGCCGGCGCGCGGCTGGCGGCCTCCGCGGTCAGCACGCGCCGCCGGTGGCGACGTCCCAGCGGCGGCCCGCCGGCGCCCAGGACCAGCTTGGACATCCTGGCCGGGCGCTCCTGCCAGCGACTGGTGATCGCCGCAAGCCCCCAGGCGCTCGAACCCAGGCGGCTGCGGGAGCGGCTGAAGGAGTGACGACCCAGACGTGGCCATCGCTCTTCGACCCGGGCTCCCTGGAGGGCTCGTCGGCGACATTTAATTCTGACGGGATCCAGCGAATAGCTGGGCGGATTTCTCTTGCAAGACAGATAGCACACCACTTCTTTACTTGGGTCAAAATCGCATAGTCTCGCGCTCGGCACCTCTCCAGCGAGAAAACCATGCCGAGGTTATCACCTATATAGAGCTTCCGCGCGCCGGCCCCCGGCCGAGCTCTCGCCCACCGGCGCAACATGGCGACGGCAGCCCGGGTCTCCAGCAAGGTGATGTGCTCGGGCCGCCTCCAGCGACCTCCGATGATAACTCGCCAGTCGGCCTTCCTCAGCAGCCCGGGCGGCATCTCGGGAAAATCTCCAACCTCCTCGAAGCACTCGCGAGGGAGGTCGTCGATCTCGTCGTCAAAACTCCCGAGCCCGGACTGCAGCAAGGCGTGGTCCCGCGCGGCGGCCGAGCCCAGGCGGCACCTCGACCGCTCGGGCACCCTGCCATGCCGGGCGGCGGCGCGGCCGCCCCACCACGTGGAGCAGCTCCCGAAGCCGAACTCGCTGGCGTCGCTGGCGCCCACCACCCCGCTCCACCCAGGAGGCTACCAGCAGCGGCATGATACCCAAGAACGCCTTGAACCCGGCCCTGACCGAGGCCCAGATGGGAAAAAAGGCCTGAAGGGTAGGCCTGCGCGAACTTGTACACAGCGTGGAACACGGAGATCGTCTGCCTCACGAGCAGCCCGACACTCGTGCAATGGCCGACGAACACCTCGACCATGTGCGCCGACACCTCCCGCCGAGCCAGCAGCCAGCGTAGCCCGGCGTCCAGCCGCCAGTAGCGGGCGGCCTCGAGGCGAGTCTCTCCATGGCACCGACGCCCTCCAAGAGGTCGCGCAGGGCGAGCCCGGCCCCCTCGCACGAGCTGCAGGCCCCAACGAAAACAGCCACCCTTCGCCGAGGATCGGCGTCGAGCACGCCGAGGTTGTCGACGTAGACGCAGTGAGCCGGCAGGGCGTCGGGGCCCAGGACGGCTGGACCCCGCGGGTCCGCCATCGGTGGCTGCCGCTCCAGGCCCGGCCCCACAAGCTGGCGTGGCACTCATCCACGGCCTGCGCCACGATGAGGCCCCAGCTGAACCCCATGGGAAAGGTGGCGCAGCAGGGCCACCAGAGCTCGGCAGGCGAGCCCACGGCAACGTCCGAGCGCCGCTCCAGCCCGGCTGCGCGCGCTGCCAGCGGCGGCAACGCGAAGAACTCCGGCAGCTCCTCCCTCATCCTCAGCCTGTGGAAGCAGTCCGCGACGTCGGCCTGCGCCATGTACGCCCGCTCGACCCCCCCCTCCAGCTCGTTCCGGCCCAGCCCCTCCGCTGTGCAGAGTTGAACTCCAGGTGGAGGTCGACAAAGTCTGTTAGTAGGTCTCGCGTCGGTTATCATCCCCAGCGCCCCACTCTTCTTCCTCACGAAGAACAAGGAGATGAAGCACTTGGGACTCCGAGTCCAGTGGATCACGCCCTTCTGGTCAAACTGGCGCGCCAGTCGTCAGCAAAGTCGAGGGCTCGATAACAACCGACGGCCCATGTACGGCTTAAAAACCCCAAAGGTCTGGTTCGGCTCATCGATCTCCTCGGGGCTCCGCCGATGCCGTTCGAGCAAATCGCGGGCGCGCGCCCCGCCGATCGCGTCCGCATACCTCGCGTCGCGGGCACCCTCGGGCAGGGGCACCTTGCCCTCCTCGTAGGGTGCCACTGTCATGTGCGCCTTGTCGTGCACCGACTCGGCGCGGAGAAGCGCGCGTGTGGCTTCCTCCTGAGTGACCTCGCGTTCAGGGGCCGGCCAGCTGTGGACAGCCTTCAGCACCCGCTCGTTGATCTCTCGGTGCACCCGAGCCACGGCGCCAGGAGCTCGACCCACTCCATCGCCATCACCATGGCCGGACATCCAATTCAGCGCAAGCAGAACATCGCTGGCCCTATTGTCCAACGCGCGCCGACGGCGAATCCGCTGACGAACTCCGCGAGAGAGTGGGCGGGGGGCCGGCTCGGTGTCGAGCAGAGGCACGGGGAAAATCTTCTCGGGGTAAGCACCCTTGCCCAGGAAGGTGGGACCAGCGCTGTCTCCTGCGTGGGCCTGCTGGCCCCCCCAGGCCCACGCGTCACGCCTAATTATTGTTGCCAGCGGCTCCAGTCTTGTCGCCCTTCCCGTCGGCCTTGCCTCGGACCTCCCTGACCTTCTGCCGCTGCTTCTCTACCTCCGTCTCTTCCTTGGCCTTCCGAGCCGCGAAGCTCTTCAGGTCTGGGCACACTGCGTCCGACAAGCTCTTGAGCCCCGAGAAGTACTTCGCGTTCTCGAAGCTCGGCTTGCTCGGGTTATTCTCGTAGGCGTCCACAATCGCCTGCACCCGCAAACACAGGAGCTCAGCGAACACCAGCGATCCCAAATTGGTCTGGTCATAGCAACCAGTGTACTCCAGCGCATCAATGGTCGTCTTCAACTCGTAGTAGACGCGGTCAGTGACCGCGATGCTCGTGCTCTGCGCCCACTTGTCAAGCCAGCCCGACGGGACCCGGCCCGTCCGCTCCATGTGGGCACAGAAGTGGATCACCGTCGGCGGCGTGTCGAGCGGCCAATCCGAGAACGGACTCCGCATCATCTCGGCCACCACCTCCCGCCACGCCTTGAACCGCTTTCCCTGCGCGTCGAAGTCCACGGCGAGGGTGCGCACGTCCAGCTCGCCGCCGCCCTCCTTGCTGTCGGTCTTCGCGGGCCCGTTCAGCCTGTCCCTCAGCTCGTCCAGCCCGCCTGCCGACCGGGGCGTGGCCGTCCCAGCGGCGGCCTCGGCCTCACCGGCCGTCCCCTCGGGCGGCGCCCCTGCTGGCGGAGGGAGCGGTGGGCCAGCGGCGCCACGCCGGGCCCGAAGGGCCTCCCGCCCCTGGCCGGACAACGCCTGCACATTCGTCCAGCCGACACCGTCGCGCTTGAGACCCTCGCGCAGGCCCCCCGACGTCAGCACCAGGTCGCCGGCCTCGAGCGTCACCACCTCGCCCAGGCTGTCCCAGCCGCCCGACAGGTCCACGACCGTCCACTCGAGGCCCGCTGGAGGCGCGGTCGTGGCGAGCCCCAACTCGACGCCAGCGGGCGTTGCCGCCGGCTCGTCGACCACGGCCTCCCATGGTGGGGGACCGGCGACAGCCGCCTCGCCGAACAGAGCGCCGATCGGCCGCCGGCGCCCGCTCGGGCTGACGTACTCCTCCACAGCGGGCAGCCCACGGACGCTGGCGTCGGAGACGGCCTCCTCGCGCGCCTCTGCGACCAGCGCCCGCAGCTCATGCGTGCCGGGGTACTCCTTGAACCTGTACACTGGCGCGCGCAGGCGAGCCGGCAGCTGGCCGCCCCTCATGGCCCTCGTACGCGCGGGCCCTTCCTCACAGCCTCGCACGCTCTCACCATACACGTGCCCGTCGGGCGTCAGGATCATCCACTTGGCCTCCTGAGCGGTCGGCCAGAAGCACATCCTCTCGTGCCACACCGTGTCGTCCTCGAACCACGCCAAGTACAGCTCCCCCGGCACCAGGCGGAACCAGAACTCCTCGGCCACGCTGGCGGCCGCCACCATCGCCATCGCGCCGGCAGCTGAGCCGAGAGCAGGCGAAGGCGAACAGGTTCAGCACGCTGGCGACGCCGCCCACCACGCCCCCCCAGTCGAACGGCGATTCGGGCGCGTCGCGCTCGTTCAGGGCGCCCGTGCTCTCTGCCAGCAAGAAGGCCGGCTCCGCCGCCGCCTCGCAAGGGGGGCACGGCAAGCAGGACGGGCACTCGGGCCAGGGCTCGCCCGCACCTGGGCAGTAGAACTGCGGGGGCTGAGTCAGCAGTGGCCGCACCACCGACTCCAGGAAGGCCACCGCGAGCGCCCCGGTGCTGGCGGCCTGGACGGGATTCATCCCGCGAGAAACTTTGAGCATAAACAGTTGCGGATAATATTGCAGCAACACGACCCGAGCCCAATCCCATTCAACACTGTGCACGAACATGCATGATGATAATAATAATAATACTAATAATAATAATAATAATATTAATAATAATGATAATATCAATAATAATAATAATAATAATAATAATAATAATAATAATACTAATAATAATAATGATAATTATAATGATGATAATAATAAAAAAATAAATAGAAAAATAATAATAATAAATAATAATACTAATAATAATAATAATAATAATAATAATAACCATAATAATAATAGTAATAATAATGATGCTGATGATGATGCTGATGATGATGATGACGACGACAAGGGCGTGCGCAGGGAAGAGCCAGGGATGGGAGGAGGGAGGAGGGGGAGGAGGAAGGAAGGAACGCGGGGACATTCTCTTCAAAACGAGAACCCAACACCACAGGATGGCTGGGAAAAATCTGGGCCAGCTCGCCTGGGCAGGGTGACAACTGGCGGCGGGTATGGGCCGGGAGGCCAGGGGGGCCAGGGGGGGCCTGTTGTCTAGATGCGACCATCCCCCGCTGGAGAATGCCTCACATCTCACCAGAGATCCGAACTCAGACAAGAGTAATGGTGAGACGGCGTGCAAGCGCCCGGAGAAGGATGGCAAGTGGCAACCAACTGCTGGGAGGCAGCGGGCCGCTGCGGCCGCACGACGAGCAGGCACGGCCTGCAACAGCTCCCCGAAGGCTGCCTTTTCGCCGTCGCGCCAGTCTTCCCCCAGCACCTGGCAGCGACCAGGCAACTGGTACGCGGCCCCGTCAGTCCAAAGGGAGGGGGGGGGCGAAAGAGTAGTAGGTGGGCAAGAAGAGTGGGAGACAGCCAAGGAGGGAGGAGGCAAGAGAGGGAGAGGCGGAGAAGTAATGGAGTGGTAGGGGCTGACGATGAATGGGTAGCGCATCAACTCGAGCACCTCTGATGGCAAGGGCGGTGGCGGACGAGGCCAAGGCGAAGACAAGAGACTGCGAGGTTGCGAAGACACGACAGGCCTTGCTCTGCCTGCACCTTCCAACTGCCGCCGCCGTGCCTTCATGCTGCTCTGTTCTCGCCTCGCCCTTGTGCGTGGGCAACCTGACTCGGGCCCCCGTTCGGCCGACTAGGAATAGAGGCCTCTCAGATGGGCTCGGAATAGATGGGCTCGGAGGATCGCGCAGCACTTCCGATGCATCGACAATGCATCGGCGATGCACTGGCGACGTTGCCGATGTGTTGGCGACGTCGACGGGAAAATCGGGCTCCACATCGAATGGCATCGGCGGTGCTGCGCGCTCATCTGACCCCACCTACTCGGACCCCATCTGGGAGGCCTAGACCGAAGGAGGGACCACTTGGAGGAGCAGACAAGACCACTTGAGTAAGTTCCCATGGGCCCCGCCCCTGGGGGCGGCCGGCGCCTGCTCGAGACCCCAGCGCCTGGGCTGCAGGGCCTCCAGCTGCCCCAGCGGGGTTCGGCCTCGGCCAGTGGCAGCTCCCGTGGAAGCACCATGGTATCCGCTGCCCCCTTCCCTTTCTGGACCATGTGGCTGCAATGGCTATGCTTCATCAGCTGTGCCATGAGGCAACATGCAGCGTTGCACGACCCTGAGGAACTCAACAACTCAGCAGCCGTCATTTCTATTCAGCTGTTCTCAGAGTGCCGAACTGTCGATCTCTTTCTACCTGGAAATGATGCTCCACTGTTTCAAGAGCACGCCCCACCACTGTAAGCCCGAAAGGGCGGCGCTCTCACCTCCGAGTCACGCCATCCGAATTTGTGGGGGCACTGGGACTCGTAGAAGCGATGCCACGATCCAGCATAAAATGCAAACTGGACCCGCGATCCCGAGGCCACGATCCCTTGAAAAGGACTTCGATCCGTGCGCCCAGAGCCAGGATCCTCTCAAACGGATTAGCAATTGCGCTCCCGAGGCAGCGATCCCGTGTATGTGCAGCAGCATGGGTCGGCGCTCACGGGACCACGCCCCATCGGCAAAGACTATGGGCCCGCGCTCCCGTTACCACGATCAGTTGAACGAGAACTACGGGCCCGCTCTACTGGAGCCGCGGACCAGAGTACAAAACGACAGGTCCGCGCCCTCGAGGCCACGATCCCTGCCTACAGGATTAGACTTGCACCACTCCTGGGGCCGCGATCCTTTGAGCGAAACTTCGGCGGCGAGCCCGGGGGGAAGTGAGAACGGGCGGGCCTTCTCAGAAGGCTCGGAAGTCCCCTGGCCTTCTGAGAAGTGTGTCAGAACGCGCTAGGGCTTCTGAGAAGAACCGCCGCCTTCTGAGAAGGCCTTTTCCTTCTCATTTTCCCCCCTCGCTTGCCGCCGAGAAATGGTCCACCGTCCTGAAGCGATGGCCCCTTGCACGAGAATATGGACCCGCACTTCCAAGGCCCTGACCCCGTGCAAAGACCTTAGATCTGCGCTCACAGAGGGGATAAACCACCCGGGCAACCCACACATCGGATACATGTAGCTGCTGCGCCCAATTGCGCCTGTCCTTGTTCTGCCTCTGCTGAGGGGACAGAAGACGGGCGGGAAGGGGATGGTGCGCCCCCCCCCCACTTGGAGTGGAAGCCATCCCTCCCACACTCCCCTCGCCATCTAATATCCCCCACCCCCTTTCCATCCCCCATCTCCAACTCCATTCCATTCCCCCTCGCCCTTTCCACCTCTCTCCCCTGCCCTCTCCATGACCCTACACCATCCCATAGTAGCGTGATCCGACTTACTGCCCCAAGCCAAATCGCTAGCGCGTGGACTGTGAGCGGGACGAGCGGCCAGGCCGCATTGACAGCGCCGCCCAACTGGGCCGACGGCACCCCGAAATGCGCGAGATGGGAGACAGAGGTGGCAACATCGACCTGTGGGGCCAGCGCAAGGAACGGGAAACGGTAAACATGGTACCGGGGTGGAGCGAAGGGGGAGAACGGGGAGCAAGGACAACACTAAGGCCGCGGCGAAGCGGCAGGTGCCGCGGGGCTGGCGTGTAGAGCACGCGGATGTCGAGCGGACTCTTGCGCCTGCGTCCGACCGTGTTCCCGATTGCGCCGCGCGAGGAGACGGAGGAGGAACAGCAGCAGCAGAAGCTAAACATGAAATGATACATGCCAAGCCTTGGCTGCATGTAATCGCAATTGCTCGTTGGTCCAAATGACCCTTCACCACACGGGAACGTGCACGTATTGATGAAGAGCTGTTGAATCCGCCGACCCCAGAGGCGTGGGAGGGAAAGCCCGTGTTCGAGCGGATCCTCCTGAGTCTCTCCTCCAGCACGCCTGCCATCCCCAGCCTCCAGGAATTTTTGTGCTTCGATTCTTAGGGACCCCCCACCCTGCAAAATCAACCCCGGGACCCCCCTCCACCACGCCTCCACCACGCCTGACATCCTCAGTCTCCTGGAACCCTTGCGCTTCAATTCTTAAGGACCCCCCACCCTGCACAATCCGCCCCGGGACGACACACCGGAAGTTCATGTTTTCGTCCCACCACACAACAATTTCTGGCCCGAATCCCACTGATACCCCCAACTGCGCCCTCACCACGCCCTGGCATCCTGACCCATTGAAATCTCAGTTTTTGAGCCCCCCCACACGACAATTCCTGGCCCGACCCCCACCGATACTCCCCGCCGCGCCCCCACCACGCCCCAGCATCCTCACACACCGAAAGCTCATTGTGAAGGCTGTCGCCTCTGCCGCCGACCCCAAAGAGCTGGCAGTGTTGCGGACAAGGGGCGCCCGTATCCGCATTTGAAAATGAAACAGCGACAATTCCCCTTGGCGCCAGCCTTTGGGGCGACGGCCCACTCAGCACAAGGCAGACATTTAAGCAAGGAGTAGTCATCGACCTGAGAATTGGGGGGGCACGTCGCCGTTGTCCAGTTACGTGGCACTGACGCGCGTTCGACGGCGGGAGGATATGCTGATCGTTCGGCCCTTTGACCGAGCTGCCTACACTCAGAGGGGACAGAAGGGCCCCGCGCTACTGTTGCAATTGTTGCGAGGAGAAACGTTGGACTGGGATGCAATCGAGATGGAGTTCATGCCTTCGGGAAGGTGTTCGCTGTGCTCATCAGCGAAGTACAAGAACCAGTATGCTCTTGGGCAGTGGAGTCGCGACGACGGTCTCCGCGTGTGTAACTTGCGCCTAGAAGGCAAAAGAGTGTAGGCACTCCGTGGCAGTGCATGGAATGCGGTCTGTGGAAGGGCCAGGATGCCTCCCACGCGTCCGAGCACCACTCGTCGAAGCTGAGTTCGCGGCGCTGCGTGGACTGCCCCGAGAGACGGAAATGCCGCGCGTGCGATGTTCGAAAATACGAGGAGGCGTTCGCGGCATATCAATGGGAACTGGCAGGGAACAGCCGGTGCAGAGGAGGGATGTGCGCGGAGTGCGAAGAGCTGAAAAAGCACCTGGAGTGTTCCCGCTGCGGCCAGGAGAAGTTGGCGGACGAGTTTGCCAAGGCGGAAAGGAACAGCGACGAGCGCAAGTACAAGAGGTGTAAGAAATTGGGGAGAAAGGAAGAGATGCATCGCGCCGAGGACGACAAACGGGTGGTATGCTCGATGTGTGGTGAGTCCAAAAGGCAGTCAGAGCTTTCCGCTTACATGTCGAGCCACGCCTCCAAAGCGTCAATTGCGTGTACCCAATGTCGACGCGGCAGCTGCAGAGCGGGATGCGGCGGCGATGGGGAATTTGAAAGACTGCGTTGTGTGTGGGGTGCTCACACACCGGAAGCTCATTGTTTCGTCCCCCCACGCGACCACTTCTGGCCCGAACCCCACCGATATCCCCCGCCGGCCCCCACCGCGCCCCGGCATCCTCACCCACCGAGAAAGCTCAGTCTTTGGGTCCCCCCGCACGCCAACTTCTGGCCCGCATCCCACCCATTCCCTTCACCGCGCCCCAACCACGCCCCGGCATCCTCACCCACCGAAAATTCAATTTTCGAGCCCCCCCTACACGAAAATTTCTAGAACGAATCCCACCGATACCCCCCGCAGCGCCCCCACCACGCCCCGGCACCCCCACCCTCCGAGAATTCAATTTTGCGCCCCTCACACAACAATTCTTGGCCCGACTCCCACCGACACTTCCCGCAGCGCCCCCGCCACGCCCCTCATTCTCACTCCCCGAGAGCTCATGCTCAATTTTCAGGCCCCCCCACACACAAAAATGTTCGGCCCGCATCCCTATGTCACCCCCCACCGCGCCCCCACTACGCCCCCGCATCCTCGCCTCCCGAGAACTCAGTCCCCCCACACGACAACTTCTGGCCCGAATCCCAGCGATACACCCCAGCATCCTCACTGGTAAATCCCGCTATCGCGTTGTACAGACCCTGCGCACACAGCTCCCTGACAAGAGGGTCCGAAGAAGGAGGAGGAGGAGGAGGAGGAGGACAAGGAGGAGGAGGAGGAAGAGGAAGAGGAGGAGGAGGAGGAGGAGGAGGAGGAGCAAGGAAGAGGAAGAGGAAAAGGGAGAGGAGGAGGAGGAGGAGGAGGATGAGGAGGAGAGGAGGAGGGAGGAGGGGAAGGGAGGACGGAGGAGGGAGGAGGAAGGAGGGGGGGAGAGGGAGGAGGGGAGGGACCCTCCCCTCCTCCCTCTCGTCCCCTCCCGGATGGGATGAGGGGAAGGGAGGGGAGGAGAGGGATGACGACGACGACGACGACGGCGGCGGCGGCAGTGGACCCGCCCTATACTTGACCGAGAGGATGGGGTGCGGGGCGGTCGGCCGCGCGCTCGGGTCGCACATCGCTCTGCTGCGAGGAAACTTGGCTTCAACAGCCCCCACCATGAACAACTTATGCCTGGCAAACTGATCCCCCAAGTATTTCATGCGCCCTGACATGTACAGCCCTGTCCTGCGCCTTCCAAAGGCCTGCCCATAAACCTGAGAGTCCAAAGCCAAACAGTCGGCAGCAACAAACCAGAGTGGAGTGGAAAAGGTAGGGGCGGAAGATTGAGTAGCCGCGGCCGTGCCTAGCATGGCCACCAATAAGTCACTTGGTCTCGCATGAGGGGCGCGCCGTGGCATCTGGCGCCCTCCAGGCGGGGGGCATTGCGCGAGATCCTCAGGCGACAAAAAAAACACCCAGACCTACCGTGACGCGGTCGGGCAAAGGTGGCCGCTCGCGTCGGACAGGGGCGAGATTGGCGATCGCGTCGACCAAACTCGTTCCAAGGATGCCCAGAGTGGCCCTCGACATGCACCCAATGGAGGCCGTGGGCCCTGGCGCCAACAACCCTGGCGAGCGAGTCCAGCGCGGCGCGGGGCCCCGAGAGACTTCGAGAAAGAGCTCCACCAGGGGCAACCCTGAGAGCACCCACACAATCCCCATAGACAGCCATGGGAACATCCCATTCCAGACAAGGAGACTGCAGGAGCCCGGCGAAAGCCCATTGGGCTGCATAGGTTCCGGACGATAACGGAGCCAGCGTGCTAACAATATCATCGCTGTCCAATGTACCTCCGAGGTGCCCTGCGAGGGCCCCGTGATCGCAATCATCATAGGAAAATGCTGCAAAGGACCAGGCAGATGGTCCAATGCCAGCAGCACCTCTGGCACCTCCAGAGCCATCAATGCATATGTGTATGCGACAAGCATCCCCCGGAGACTCCAGGGTACTGAGGCACGGTAATTCGGCAGCAGTAGTAGAACGCCAGTACTTAGCAAACGACCAATACTGCCTGGACAGATCCTGCTTCCAAGGAAACAACAGACGGTGAATAGTGGCCTCGATGGAAGTGTCGAGCGGGAGCGGGCTGCTCTGACAGCCTCGAACAATTGGAGTGGAGGCTCCCCTGTCGTCCTGAGTAAAGCCCGGGCGCGAGGTAGTGGTGCACTCCGAGTGGGCGAGTTGAGGCGACCCGAGGCCTGCATGCCCGCCAACCGCGCCATCGCTGCCTCGGGGTCGCGGGGCAGGCACAAGGACTTGCGCGGCAACTCCGTCTCGCTGTCGGCATCCTCGGGCGCGCCGGCAGGTGCCGCAGAGGACGAGGTCAGAGTTGCCACTAGCTTGACCTGGCCTGGCAAATTGGCTACTGCCCGCTGCCAAGCCTCCTGTCGTTTCCGGGCCCTTGGCTTCGCTCGCGAGGCTGCTGTCTGGGCCGCGGCTGGCGCAGCGCTCGCAGCCGTCTCGAGCGGGGGCTCGGCGGTGGCGGGCATCGACCGGTGCATCACCAGCGCGGAGATGCTGCTCTGGACCTCGACGAGGGAATCTGTCAGCATCTTCATCTGAGCTGCCAGTGTGAGCTGCGACGCCTGCATCTCCGCGATGACTTGCGGGAACTGTGCCGCAGATTGAGCACAGCATCCAGCCGGTGGGTGCTGGGGTTGCTGTGGTTCTGAGGGACTCGTACCCGTCGGCGACGACGTGTCCGCGGGCATGAACGGGTTGGGGCGGACAGCCTTGAACGGGGACTCGGCCGCCTCCGCGAAGGCGACCGACTTGATCTCCTGCTCCGCCATCTCGTCGAACTGGGCCAAGGCCGACTTCGCTTGCTGGATGTCTTCTGCTCAGGTCTTGCGATGGGCAGACGCTGCTTGAAGGGCTGCTGCTGTCATCTTCTCTTCTTGTTTTGCTGCTTCGAGCCTCTTCTCGGCCCGCTGCACATATGCCCGTTGGTTGGCAGCTCGTTCCTTGGCGGGGTACGCGTACACGTGCATGAACTGCAATGCGCTCAGTTCGAGCTCGAGTGCCTGCAACTGGGCTGAGTCTGACTGGAGCGACCGCTGTGCTGAAATGTTCTGCTCCATGCCGGTGATAGCCTCCTTCAGATGTACTCTGTGTTGCGCGCGGTCCGCAGCAGCGGCGTGGGGCTCCACCCAGACTGGGTGCGCACGGGCCACCCCCAGACTTGCCACTGCCACTGGCGCCTTGGGAGCTGGCAGCTTGGACTCTGACCGATGTCGTGTGGCAGGGGGCTCTGCATCGCCAGCTGTGGCTGGCAGGGACTGCGGCGGCTGCGTCTGCTGCGACGCGGAGCCTGGAGATGACGGCGACCTGCCAGCCTGCCAGCACTCGACCGCTGCGACGGATAGCACCACGAGCACCATCGACCATCGTTGTGCGTGCCGCACTTTGGACAGAACCAGCCGCCTCCGCCGCCGCTGCTGCCGCTGCCACGCGTGGTGCGGTGGCGGCCACGCCTGGGCGACCGAACCCATGGCGGCGTGCGGTCCATCGCCGCGTGGTGCCCCGCAAATAGCTGTACTGCGGAACGTTCTCGTAGAAGCGTGCGCGCCTGGCCGCGGGCCTGGCGCTGTCTGCGATGCCAGGCAGGCTCGGGACTCCTGTGGTCGCGAGCCGTGGCGGCGCCAGGCAGGGCCGCGGCGCGCGTGTGCGGGAGTCGCGGCCAGCCGCCTCTGCCGATGAGGCGGGCCAGCGCGCTGCCGCGGTCCGTGGGGGGCTCGCAGCTTTCCCCGGAAGCTGCACCCAAAGCCCTCGTGCCGGGACGGCGGCTGGGATGGGAGGAATGAGGAGGGGGAGGAGGAAGGAAGGAAGGAAGGAAGGAAGGAAGGAAGGAACGCGGGGATCGTCTCTTCAAAACGAGGACCCATCACCACAGGATGGTTGGGACAAATGTTGAACATCAATGGTTCCCTGCGTTTCGAATGCCTCTTGGGAGTTTTCGTTGGGTCGTCTTCGGGCGCCTGGTGGGTGTCTGGGGCCTCTTGGGGCCCTCGGGGGGCCGTTCGGCCACCCTTCTGACCGACTAAGGCCCGCTGCCTAGGCCCAGCAGGGGCTTCCAGGAACTCCGGAAAGCCTGGGTAGGCCTCCTGCAGGGGCGGCTAGGGGCCTCCTTGGGGCCACGGATCTGGGGGGTTCGGGGAGGGGGCGGTCTGACCCCCCCGGCTTGTAACGATATAGAAAAGGGAATATGTACAGATGGGTATACAAAGGCAAACATGCCCACGTTCATACCATTCTTCTGGTCGATTTCGCTGTGGTACGAGTGTGTGGTCAAGGTCAGGAGAGCAGAGGGAGGACGAGGAATATGGGACGTTGATAACAACGATGAGACCACGAAGGCGCGGGAGGAGGAAGAGGAGGAATCGACTTAGGTTCCGACGCGCTCTACAGGCTCCCCAAGGCACAGCAGCGAAGAGGGCACGCCCTCGCGCAGGCCGCAGATCCCGAGCGCCTGCGCGAGGACAACCTCGGCGGTGTCTGCCTGGGCCATCGCAAAGCAGAAAGCGAGTCGGACATTCGTCCTTGCGTATTTGCGGTGGTCTTATTTCTATCGACGGCATGCTGCCCCAAACAAATTTCTGGATGAATCACCCAGACGTATACAGGTGTGGCCGCTGCAAGGCAGGTGAACAGAAAAAGGAAAAGGATGATGCGGCACGAAGCGTGCGCCATGCGGCGGCATGCGAACGGAGGCAGCGGCGGCATGCGAACCCTGCCAGGAGCCTTCGGTGGAGCTCTGCGGCCACGAAGCATGTGAGCGGTATGCTGGAATGGGCCAGGCGACACCACGCGAGCCTAGCCACTGGGGCCTTCGGTGGAACTCCCGACATAAGCGACGCAAAGCGGGCCCTGGCATCTTGGTCTTAGTTGGAGGTTCCTGGGAGGCCGCGGAACGTGCGAGGGGTCTGCGTGCGGGGAAGGTGCGCGACGCTGGGCGGTGCGGATTCAACACGTGGACCCAGCACCACGGGATGGCTGGGGAAACGGAAAATGGTCACAGCAAGATCCGCCACCGTTCAGTATACACTGAATGGGTTGCCCTCGGGTCGCCTCAAACTTTTCCGGGGCCCAGACCTTTGTGGGCCCCGGAAACGGCAGGGCCGTTTTCACCGTTTCCAGAAAAATGCTACTTGAAAATGGAAACGGCAAAAAAACGGCGACCGGAAACGGCAAAAAAACGGCTCCAAGATTGGAACCGGAGCCGGAACCGGTCAAAAAACGGCGACGGAACCGGTAAAAAAACGGCGTCGGAACCGGCAAAAAAACGGCAAAACGGAACCGGTAAAAAAACGGCCCTGTCGTTTCCAGGGCCCGCTAAGGCCCAGACCCCCTGTTCTGGGCGTTCCCGGGCACTCTCGGGAATGCCCGCGTGACTTTTCCTGATGCACTCGGAGCACGGCCGCGGGGCTCAGCCTCCAGCATGCTCTAAGATAGCTCCAAAGGGCCGTCCTGGGGCTGATAGGGGGGCATCTTGGGCCGCCTTGGACGTCATGCGGGCCGGCCCAAGGGTCCCACATCATCAAAACAGACTCGGATGTTGTATGATTTTCGTGCTACCATGAGGAGCGCCGAATACAAGTGGCTTTTTCTGGCCAGTGCGAGCCTCCCCAAGAACGGCCCGAAAATCAGAGCCCCTTCTGAGGACAAAATGGTTATTATATCAGCATCTTGCCCGTACGTACTTACCCTTTCGATCTTCAGAGCGTCCAAAACAGACCAAGGGGTCCTCAAGTAGGCCCCAAGGGGGCCCAAGAGGCCAAACAAAAAAGCTCAAGATGACCCCAAGAGGCCCCCAAGAGGCGGAACACGAACTACTAGCATTCGGAGCCCTTTCCCGCAGGATGGACCCCCAGACCGCCAGGGGGCCCTCAAGCGGTCCCCACGAGGCCCCTCGGAGGCCCTCACGAAGCGCCCAAGAGGCCCCGAGAGAAGCTCAAGAGGACCCCAAGAGGCCCCCACGAGGCATCCAAAAGGAATCCCAAGGCTCCACGCGGAAAGTTGTCTCCCAATGGCTTTCCCATCCAAGATGGCCCCAAGATGGCCCAAACTACCTTCCAGAAGGCTCAACATACCTCCAAGATGGCCCAAGACGACGCAGACGGTCCAAGGCGACCCCAAGACGGTCTCAAGACGCCCAAGATGCACCCATGAGGCCCTCAAGGACGCCCATAAGATGCCAAAGTAATCTTCCTCGATTGGCTGCCCAATGACAACCGCGCTCTCGCCTTTCCGGGCTCCCGACAGCCAAAGAGGGCCCCAGGGACTTCCGACATAGCCCCGAGACGGCCCTTGAAGACTCCAAGATGGCTTCAAGATGGCCTCACATACGACCAAGATGGCCCAACTATGCTCCCACATGCATCGAATACAGCTCGAGATACCTTCAAGAAAAACCAAGATTCCACCAGTACTATCCAAACGGCCCAAGATGACCCCAAGACGGCCAAGCATGCTCTCAAGCAGCCCTCAAAGACGACCCGAAGAGGCCAAAGTTATTGATCGTCATGCATGTGCTAAGTCATGTTAGCATTCTCGCGATTCCGAGCTTCCGAGAGCCTCAGGCAGCCCAGGGGACCTCCAATATCCGCCGCCTGCTTTTTCCTGCAACACTTGGGGTGTCGAGGTGTAGCTCGGGTCCTCCCAACAAGTTCCCAGCGGCCTCTGGCCCAGTCCGCCACGCCAAGAAACCACTCCAAAGGGTATCTCCCGGGATGGCTCTCCAAGACGAGCTCCAAGATGGCCAATCTGGCCCGAGATGGCCTCCACAAAAATCGAGAATGCCTCCAAGCAGGTACAAGATGCCTCCAAGATGGCCCCAGACGGCCCCGAAACGGCCCAAGAGGTCCCCGATACAGCCGAAGAGGCCTCCGAGAGGCCCTCAAGGAGCTCAAGGGTCCGAAGACACCCAAAATCACAAACTACCCCAAGCGTTGCTGAATAATGCTCGCGTTCTCCCCTTTCGGGTTTCCAGCAGCCCCAGGCGGCCACAGAGGCCTCCGAGAGAACCCCAAGACAGTCTAAGAAGTTCCCAAGAAGGCCCAAGACTGGCCGAGAGGGCCCCGAGAAGGCCTACGAGACGGCTCCAAGAGGGCCCCACGAGGACCCAAGAAACCTCCAAGAAAGCTGGAAAGCGCCCACGGAAGACCCCAAGGCGGTCCACAGAGGACCCGAATACAGCGTCCCAAGGCGTCAGACGGGCCAAGAGAGTTCGGCCCGAGAGGCCTTCAAGAGGCCCGCACAGAGGCCCTCAAGAGGCCCCAGCAGGCTCCCAAGGAGCCCCCGGAGCCCCAACGCTCCAAGAGCCCTCAGAGCCCTCAGAGCCCTCAGAGCACTCAGAGCCCAGAGGCCCTCCAAGAGGCCCCCCCCTCCTCCTCCTCCGCCTCCTCCGCCTCCTCCTCCTACTTCTCCTCCTCCTCCTCCTCCTCCTCCTCCTCCTTCTCCTCCTCCTCCTCCTCCTCCTCCTCTCTGGGGTCGTCGAGGTGTCGTCGTGTGTTGTGGGGGGGAGGCGATTGTCTCCGACGAGTGGGCAGAACCGCTGCCTATTGCGTTGTATGCGCTCGGTCACGGCCTGGTGAAACGTAAGGTTGAGACCCTGTCGCGTGAACCCTCTTCAATATGTCGTTGCATCCGATGTGGCGACTATGGAACAGTGGAACAGAGCCAGCTCGGTCGAATTCGTCGGGGGAAGCACCCGCACTAAAGGGCCACAGCGAAGGTCCTTGTGTTCGGTGCGCCAGCCCTCTGGGCGCCCAGGAGAGAGCTGAGCGCGAGCATGCGCTCGAGCCCGCCCTCACCCCCCTCCTCTCGGAGCCTGATGCCGTTTGGGTCCCAGGCTTTGCCTCGCAGGCAGCGGTGCTAGCGGCCTTCGGCATCGTTGAGTCTGATCTCCCCAGGGTCAAGACCTGGGGGGAGAATGCTGTGCAGGTCGCTCGAAGAGTTTTGGCTGAGGAGCCAGAGGCCTCAGTGAGTGACTTTGACTTTGGGTAGCTGCATGCCCGCCTTCGTGGCCGTCCACCACCACCACCTCCTCCTCCTCTGCCTCCTCCGCCCCCTCCTCTCTTCTTTGTCACCCAAATGTTTCCCCGAGAATTTCCACGACGGCTGGGGGAACCCATTGATCAATAGCCTGCTCCTGGCCAGAACTTGGCCCAACATAGGCGTTTTTGGGAGGCAGGGGGTCGCGGTGATTCGCCGTGGGTGTCCTTGATCAAATCATCGGCAAATTCATGCTTCACTGCCCGTCCACATTTCCAAATAAACCTGGGGGGGTGATATTGCGCGGCCCGCTCCTTCAATTGCTCGAAGGTATGCCGCCAGCACGCCACCCCCGTCACACCGAGCTTTCTTCCTTGGGGAATGGGCGGAGCCAGAAGTTCTGATACACATAGGCTATTTGCAGAACGGCTGATGGATGCCTCGCAGTGCCAGACGAAGCGGCCGCAGTACAGCTCGCACAGCGACACCGCGATGCCCCACACGTCCCCGCGGTGCGTGATCGGAAGCCGTAGAGCCATCTCGAGACGATGGGATGACCATGGGGATGAAGAGGGGGATAGCGGAGGCGAGCGAAGCAACGATGATGACATGCGGCTGACGACGGTGCCCAACCAATGATGATATTAATTGCTATGCACTTCTGTTACACGCAAAGGCACGCCGTACCCACAAACCGAACCGCTCCTGGACCAGCCATGAGGGCGCCAAAAACAAGGCCGCCCAAAGCAAGGCCACTGCCCGTCCCGCCGACACCTGATGGGTCTGGGTGTGAGTGGTCTGAGCGCGAGGGGATCTGATCATGGGTGGGTCTGTGACCACGATGGAAACCACCGCAACCGCAAGTTCACAAAAAGATTCCAGGACGGGCGCAATCCCAAATTTACATGGCAGCGCTTCGCACTTGCACTCACGGTTCACTCTGCACTGCGCACAGCGCATGCAATTACACGCGCCTTCGCCTTGCAATCATCACCCCAGGAACCATCTTAATAACACCAAAGGTGACCTGTGGGACCTGCGGGACCTGTGGAACCTGCCGGAATTGGGATAAATGTTGGGAGCGTGAGCCCTGTGGAACTTGTGGGAGCTGTGCGGGCTGCGGTAGCTGTGGGACCTGAGGGACCTGCGAGACCTGTGGGACCCTTGGGACCTGTGGGACGCGTGGGCCTGGTGGGACCTGTGGGGCCTTCGGAATTGCAAAACTTGTCGTCCCTGCGAGACCTGTGGGACCTGTGGGACCTGCGGGGCTTGCGCCACCTGCGACACCTGCCTGACCTGTCGGACCTGTAGGACCTGAGGGACTCGTAGGGCCTGTGGGACCTGCAGGACCTGCGATACCAGTGGGACCTGTGGCGCCTGTGGCACCTGTAGGCCCCGTGGGACCTGCGGAACTTGCGGGGCCTGCGGGACCGGCGCGACTTGTGGGACCTGTGGGACCTGTGGGACCGGAGGGGCTGGGTGGACCTGTGGGGCCTGTGGGACCTGTAGGGCCTGAGGGGCCTGTGGGGCATGCGTCGCCTGTGGGACGTGTGGGACATGCGGGACCTGCGCGACCTGCGAAACCTGTGGGACCTGCGGGTCCTGCGGAACCTGCGGGACCTGCGGACCCCGTGGCCCTTGTAGGACCTGTAAGCCCTATCGGGCCTGTGGGACCTGTGGGGCCTTCGGGGCATGTGGGACCTGGGGGGACTGAGACTTGCGGGGCTGCAGGACTTGCCAGACCTACGAGGCCTGCGGGGCTTGCGGGACTTGTAGGACCTGTGGGACATGTGGGGCATGTGGGACTTGTGGGACATGTGGGATATGCTGGGCCTGCGGGATTTGTGGGACCTGCGCGACCTGCGGGACTTGTGGGACTCGTGGGACCTGTGCTGGCGGCGGGACCTGTCGGACCTGCGGGACCTGTGGGACCCGGGGGGCCTGTGGGACCTGTGGGACCTGAGGGACCTGGGAGACCTGCGGAACCTGTGGGACCTGTGAGAGCTGCGGGACCTGCGGGACATGTGCGACCGGTGGACCTGCGAGAACCTGTGAAACCTGTGGGGTCATTCATACCTGTGGGACCTGTGGCACCTGCGGACCTGCGGGACCTGCGGGTCCTGTGGGACCTGTTGGACCTATGGGTCCTCTGGGACCTACGGGACCTGTGGGAATTGCGGGACATGCGGGACCTGCGAGACCTTTAAAACCTGTAAGACCCGTGGGGCCTGCGGAACCTGTGGGACGTGCGGGACCTGCATGTGGGACCTGTGGGACCTGCGGGGCCTGCGGGGCCTATGGAGTATGCGGGACTGGCGGGTCCTGCGCGACCTGCGAGACCTGTGGGAAATACGGACCCTGTGGATCCTGTGGGGCCTGCGGGACCTGTGGGGCTTGTGGGACCTGTAGGACCTGTGGGACCTGTGGGACCCAGTGGGACCTGCGGGACCTGCGGGGCCTGCGGGGCCTGCAGGACCTGCGAGACCTGCGCGACACGCGGGACCTGCGGAACCTGCGGAACCTATGGGACATGTGAAACATGTGGGACCTGTGGGGCCTGTGGGACCTGTGGGGCCCGCGAGGCCTGTGGGACCCTTGGGACCTGTGGGACGTGTGGGACCTGTAGGACCTGCGAGACCTGTGGGACCTTTGGCACCTTCTTTGCGACTTGTGGGTCCTGTGGGACCTGTAAGACCTGTAGGACCTGTGGGACCTGTGGGACCTGCGGGACCTGTGACACCTGCAAGACCTTGGGACCGGTGGGATCTGTTGGGCCTGAGGGACCTGTGGGACCTGTGGGACCTGCGGGACCTGCGGGACCTCCGGGACCTGTGGCACCTGTGGCACCTGTGCGGCCTGTGGGACCTGCGGGACCTGCGGGACCTGCGGGACCGGCGAGACCTTCGAGACCTGCGGGACCCGTGGGACCTATGGGACCTGTGGGACATCTGGGACACGTGGGACCTGTGGAACCTGTGGGACCTGTGACCGCCGAGGACCCAAGTAAGGCCCTGAATTCTGGGACCGCCAGGCACCCAAGTAAGGACCTTACTTGGGACCCCGGGAATTCCTTATTAAATTTGGTGGATCGACAGATGTCTCGCACTTTGGGACCATCGAGGCCCCCCGGGGGGCATTTATTAAGGAACCAGAAGTTTCCTTACGTCCACCATGTTTTCTTGGAGCGGAAAGACCAAAAGTTCAAACGTCCCGGCGTGGCCGTCGGAGGCCCCCAACCAGCCACCCAGCTTGGAAACGCGCGGCAAATGTTTCGCCGAGGCTGAACGCGACTCTGCTGCCGTCGCCACCGTAGCTGCACTGCATCCGGTGATCCACTGGCCTCAGGGCCCCGAAGAGTAAGCCTCCTAGCGGTGTCCTGACGACCTCCTGGAATCTGGGGGGAGACCGCCGGGGGACCTCCCCTGGTCCTCTTGGGGGCCTCCCGCAAACTTCCAGAAGGGGGCTGGGAGGTCTCCCAGAAGCTTTTTCTGGTCCTTGCAAGCCTGCTGGGAATCCTCCCCGAGGACCAGGGTCCGGGAGCCTCCCCCAGACCTCGAAATCTGGCAGGGCTCCCTCCAAGGGGAAACTTCCGGGGAGACCAGGGGAGGCCCCCTGGAAACCTCCCCTGGTCCTCCCGGGCCGCTGGGGGGAAACTTGGTGGAGGACCAGGTGAGGTCTCCTGGAAGCTTCCCCTGGTCCTCCCGAAAGCCTCCCACAGGAGACCTCCCCCCCGCGGGAACTCTCATCGGAGGCTTCCAGGTGAACCAGGGGAAGCCTCCCAGAGACCTCCCCTGGTCGTCCCGGAAGCCTGGGGGAGGCCTCGCCTGGTGCTCCCAGGGGCCGTGGGAAGCCTCTCGCCACACCTTGTGGAAACCAAGGGAAGCCTCCGGAAGGCCTCCCCAAGCCCTCGGGGGGATCAGGGGGAGGTATCCAGGAGAACCAGAGGAAGTCTGGTGGAGGCCCCCTCCACCTCGCCGGAGGAGGGCCCGCTGGGAGGTCTGGTCGACGTGGAAGGGGGGCATCCCACCAGACCTGTTGGAGGTGGAAGGGAGGTCTGGTACCAGACCTAGTGGGGTTGGGGGTAACTGAAGACCCAACCCAGGCAAAGCAAGAAAACCAGCATGGAGGCGAACGCGGCCCAAGACGGCACCAAGATACCCCCCAGGCAACTCACGACGGCCCAAGAGGGCCCCTAATGTCCCAGGTAGCCCCATATACGACTCAAGAGTGTCCCAGGAGGCCCCCATGACAACCCGACAGTAACCCATGACATACCACATGTTGTCCATGTGTGCCACGTGAGAACCCCAGGAGACGCAATAATGAGACAAGGAGAACGAAATGGAAGAAGGGAGGGTGACAACATGGGGGACGTGGGAAGGGGGAGGGCGACGACGTAGACGAAGGAGTGCGCCCCGAAGCGGCGCGGAAGAGCGCGTCACATGTTGCGGCCCTTGCAAGGCTATGGGCGACGACATGTCGCGCGTTATGGCTTTCGTGGCGGTGCTCGAAGACTCGCCACGCCGAGTGCTGCGCGGTCGCGGTGCGCGGGACTTGCCGCGAACAGATCGGCATGACGCACGCGCCGTGGTTTCTACCACAACCGCGCGACGCGTATGATTTGTCAACAATGTCGCGCCCTCCACGAGCGGACCGGGCCCTCCACCTTGAGACGTGCGCAATAAAACACCATCAAAACATAATGCGAGTGGACGAGGGGGAAAGCAACCAGAAGAGGTCGCGCGAAAGGTGGACAACAAATGAACAATGCTCACAAAAAAATCACATGCGCAAGCGCCCAACGAAACAAACTTATAGACACTCCAACAATTTGGCGCGCCGCGAAGAAGGGAAAAGGGGCGGGGGGCCCGCGTGCCCACGAGGAACAAACTTAACGGCATGGTAATCGCTACTGGACACGCCGTCACGCAGAGCCGCTCTGACAACACACACGCACACGGGCGCATCATCGCGCAAAAGCGGCCGAACCACGCCGCGCGAAGCATCGCTGCGCCAAGGCGATCCGCCCATGCAAAACACGCGCAAATGGCATCCGAAAAGAGCGTTACGCGCCGCGCAAACAAATATGGCGCGGTGCCGCAACAATCAGGCGGCTACGAATGTAAACTCCTCTGAACTGCGCGCACGCGCGTCGTGTTAAACAGGCCGCGCCGCGCAGGCACGCCACTCGGTCTCGCGCCAGCACGTCGAAGGGAAGGTCTGCGGGAGACGCTCTGCAAATGGCAATGAAGCAACCCCACGAGAACGCGATACATGCGAAATCGAAGCACGTGCCAACAGTAACCGCGACAACAGAACAGCCAACAACAAATCATTTTAAAGAAACATCCATAACTTCCGGTTGCGGTGGTTTCTTGCGCGGTCAGTCTGAGTCTGAGCGGGTCTGAGTGTGAGTGAGTCTGGGCGTGAATGCGTCAGGGAATTGACAAGTCTGAATATGAGTCCGGGTTCGAATAGCTAATTGGCCAAACAAGTCTCACACTGGGAAGGAGGATCAGAACATTACTCACTGCGTGGAGCT